AAAAAAAAAAAAAAAAAAACACATTATAATAAAACCAATACCTTCTCAGCTTCGCATCGAAGCTAAAAATTTGTCCCGACACCTTTTCTTTATTTTTATGTAAAAATCACTGTTTAACATGAAATATTTTAATACTTAAAACTACCATAACTTTTTGGAAAATTAAAAAATTTAAATAATTTTTTTTATATTCAATCTTAGATATTTATCTTTCATTTGATATAATTTTTTAAAAAATCTGACTCTAAACCTGCCTACAGAAGAAATTCAAAAAATCAATTTTTGCACACAAGTTAAGCTTTATCAATTTTATTTTCGAAAATGTTCCGGAAATATTGACAATTTTATTTAATCTTAACCCTTAAACAGTCGCGTGGGGGTCTAGCATACCCCCACATAAATAAAAANCGCGTGGGGGTCTAGCATACCCGCACATAAATAAAAACGGATGTATTATATTGCATAAAAGGTGTACATAGATATAAATTTAAAAGATGGTTTTTACAGTAATATTGAATCGATTTTCATAAATAAATACCTTCGAAAATACTTAAAACTTAAAATATTCATCAAAATTGAAATGAGTCATATTTACCTCCACGCGACTTGTAACGATATAATTTTTTTTTGGACTTGTATTTTTTTTTTAAATATCCTTTTATCGTAAATGCAATGTTATAATCGATATAATATTGTGGAATTGGAATTAAGTGGATCTTCCACCGACTGTTCAATTAAGTTTTAAAAATAAGAACAAATAAGAACAAAACACGTAATAAATATGTCGCAATGTGGACACATTGATTATCTGTAATCGATGTGCTACTACGAACGAATAATTGTATATACTCGTATCATAATAATTAAATGTATTGTAATATTAATAATAAAAAAATTCAATTCTGAATGATGATTATATAAATGTAAATACGTATAAAACTAATAAATATAAGCTATGTTTGAGCTCAAAGAAATACAAGAAAAATTAATTAAAATACATTTTGTAATAGTAAAAGCTTTTGTATACCGTTTTAAAAATAAGATTTTGCAGTTAAAATAATTTTTATACAAACCAAAATTTTTTAATGAAATTTTGAAAATTAAGTTTTTTTTTTCGTAATAAAATTTTTTAAGTAATGAACATAATTTTGTAATTTATTTATTTTTTAATTTTTATCCATATTTATATATCATATGGTAACAATTAATGCCTTTGAATTAAAAAAAAATGAACTTTTTTATACATATTTTATACTTTTTTAGAAATGGGGTCTGATAGACCCACACACGACTATGAACGTTAAAAATAGGCACGCGCCTGCTAAAGAGTAAAATTAAAGCTTATATTATATATTTCACTATGAAAAACAAAAAAATTCGAAATAAAGATTTTCTTCTTGGTGAAAATAGCTACCGTATTCAAAAATATGCTATTTTTATGTTAAAATTCTGTGTTTTGTATTTTATTTTATTTTAAAGTATCCTAAAAGGGAAATACACTGACTTTCATGAATACTATATAATTTAATTGACATAGAATAAAGTTCATAAGACATAAGAAATTAAACTTATTTAAATTTTTTTGCTTTTTTAAAGTCGAAAAAGTAACTTTAAAATTTGAGCAGCTTAAATTGCTATTTTTATCACCTGACGATAACTGTAGTATAATTATTAATACATGTACTAAATATCACATATATATGAATAAAGCAAAAAATCATTCAAGGAATGTTTCCCTTTTAGTTTAATCAAAATAACCATTTATTTACACATGTTTCAAACCAGACCCCTACAATTCATTAACTACGCCCGCACCAGGGTTTCTATCATAATTAACCAATCACAAATAACTATCCAACATCTGAGGATTTTCAATAGAGATCGCTGCCTTACTTAATCAAGCATATAAAAAGCCATTTTTCTCGTAAAATGAGCCCTATCGGCTCTCTCTCATCTCTCTCAACCCTCTTTAGCGGTTGATGGTCAACATTCTCTTACATGGAATCTGCGTCAGTATAAGTAAATATTTTGTCCCTGTGACTTAGTTATTTTTATATCATCCTAAGTGGTGAACATTGTTTTGGATGATTTATTAATATTTTACCCAGGAATAAGTTTTATTTATATTTATTATTACCTAATATCCTCACAATGTGTCGAAAAGAGTGAAGAAGCGTAATTTTATTTATTTAAATATAGTTTGTAATATATAAAGGTTTTAAATATTATTGTGCCTTTCATTCATGAACAGCCTTAAATGTGCCCAACTGAGTGAAGAAGCGTAATTTGTGATTAGAATTAACTAGCCTTAGTAGTAATATACTCTGCCTGTTTATTCGCTAGCCATAAAGGACTATGCTAATTACTTTCTGGTAACGTGGAGGCAGTTGAGGTAAAGAGTATTACTAAATTTATAATAGAATATTTTTGAAGTGGTCTATATCGGCCGACAAGCCAGTTCTAGGACTAGTAGTCCGGATAGAGTTCATCATAAGATATATAGTTCGTAATGTAGGAAACTACATCTTGGAAATATCATATGCGTGTTTACTCGCTAGCCGTGAAGGACTATGCCAATTATCTCTAGATAACGTGTAGGCAGTTGACGTAAAAGATAGTAAAAGGTGTATTGAAGAAATATTTAATATATATTAATAAGGTTAACTGTGTCCGCACCAGCCAAGGCTTTATGCTGAGAAACGTAATCATTTCTAATTAACTCTTGGCGTTCAAAAAGATTCTACAATTGAAATATGACCTGAATTAATTTTAATGATTTACTTTAATTAAAATAACCAATAAAAAAAAAAAAAAACACATCATAGTAAAATTAATACCTTCTCAGTTTCGCATCGAAGCTAAAAAAATGGTTAAAAAGATCTATTCAATAGTGTACTTTAAAATTTGATTATAATTGTAAAAATCCATTGTTAAATTAGGAGAAACTAACAATCATTTTTTTTAGAAATGATTTATAAAGCTACATGTTACCAAAATATTATATAGTCTAGTAGTAGCACACACAAATAAAGTAAAAAAATTATTAAATTACAAAGTAAAATGATTTAATTTTGTAGTTGAAACCTATCATATAAAATTATCATATCACACTTGATTCGTCAATATATACTCTGAAAACATTAGAAATGAATGATTTTAATTGTCTGTATGGAGGACATGGGATAAGTAACTGTTTCATTGATAAATTAGAATTTCTTTTTCAATTTTTGTGGGTAACTAATTGTAATCATTTGACGTATCATTGAAAAATATAGATCAAGTTAGAGCAGAGAAAATAAATAATAGTTACAAAAAAATACCTTCTCAGCTATGCATCGAAGCTAAAATCTAAAATATAGTAAAATAGTTTTAATATGACTAAGAAATTTCTTCTCGCATGGGGCAACTAAAGTGATAGGATCCTTGATCTTGATTGAAGTTATTGAATTTACATGAGATAAAAATCAAACGAGTTGAAAATTTATTTTAACTAAAAAAGAATTAAGAAAAAATGCAAAAAATTTTCTTGCCATACGCGTGATGAAACCTTGTACCCCAAGCCTGTAAAATACAAGTTTTACCAACTCGGCAACTGTACGTTGCTACCATCGAATGAAAAAATTGGCTATTTAAGCTAGTTCAAATTTCAAAGTTAATTTTCTAGACTTCAAAAAACTGTAAATAAGTTTAACTTTCTATGCTATATCAATTTGATTTATATAATATTTATAAAAATCAGTGTACTCCCCTCGTCAGGTATTTTAAATTAAAATAAAATACAAAACCCAGAATTTTAACACAAAAATATCATATTTTTGAATACGGTAGTGAACCATGAAGACAAATCCAAAGGTCAAATTTTTTTTTTTAAATTAAAGTATATTACATAAGCTTTAATTTAAGATATATATAAAAGTGTCAGTCTTTCCGGAACATTTTCAAAAGTCAAGTTGAAAGAGTCAATTTTTTGTAAAAAAGTTATCATTTTGAAACCATTTCTGTGGGCTGTTAAAGGGTCAAATGTTCACAAAAATATATAAAATGATAGGTAAATATCTAAGGTATCTATAAAAAAAAAATTTATATTGATTCGGTAATTTTTAACTTTGTTGTCCGTTTTCACCACGAAGACAAGTCCAGAGGTCAAATTTTTTTTTTTTAAATTAAAGTATATTACATA